TCTTAGGCCTGATATCTCAAAGTTAAAGAGCTCCTCAAGTGCTCACACTCAATGCCTCTCATTACCACGCCCGACATGACCAAGTCAAAGAGTTTCTCACTGATCCATGTCCAATACCACCAATCTCGCACCTAACATGATTAGAACAAAGAATCTCTAACTTGAGTCACGCCCAACGAAATGCATGCATGCCCAATGTGATAGAATTTCTGCACTCAATATATATAAAATCTCATTTTGGCTCAATCCACCTAAAACTCAAAAAAGAACCAACATGCAATACATAATCCAACATATGTACATCACAAACAACTCAAAATTAGCTGAAAATAACACATGCAACCATCACAATTCATATCACCCAAGTTACTCAAGAACACCATTTCAAGAGCACTACTAACAACATTTAAATTTCTGATTTTCACTAATTCAATCATGTAAATGACAAATTCAAACAACAACAACAACAAACATTTAACACAACAATTCAATCTACAAAGCTTCCATTACCTTTAGTCAATCAACCAAGAAAAGGAGAAAAGGATTCTGTATGACTCTGACTTGAGATCCTCAACTTCAAAAGCTTGAATCTCCTAAACTAATCACACTCGATCAATTATAGGGAATGAAGAAGGAAGGATTTTCAATAGAGAAAAGGAAGTAGAAACTTGGACTCAAGAGATCTTCTTTCTAGTTTCTCTCTAGTTTTTCTTAAAACATGACCTTATGAAGTTCATGTCTTAAGAAAAATATTATATATCACCGTTTTTTTAAATTGAACCAACTTAACTCTATCTAAGACTATCTCATAGATAACTTATCTCTCAGGCCCCTTAACCCTCAAAATTCTAAAACAACAACAAATATAACAAAACAATTAATCATTTAAAATTAATCAACAACTAGAGAAAATAATCCAATATTACAATATAACTTTTAATATAATATAATAAAAACTTAATCAACATAAAATTATTTGAATGAAACCAATAATCTCGACTTTTAGAAATAAAACTATTTTAATAATTATTTCTCATGATATATTATAAATTTTGATTTCTTACGAGTTTTTTTTAGAAAATTTCATTCAAGACACGATCAATTAAAAATATTTTCTCAATAAATATTAAAATTTTGATTCGTTACCTGTAGAAGGAAAATTACTCCTTCTATTATACCAATATGCTCTTATTACTTATTAGTTTAAATATCAACATGTGTTTTCTTATATATTCCATAACGTTGAATTGAAAGTTGAAACGGAATGTGGCCATACTTTTGTGATGCTTAGCTTAAATTAATGAGCGTGGGCGGGAGAAAATAAAATAGTAATAGAGTTGGAATGGCTCATTCGCATTTCACGGTTCGTGTTCGCCATGTGCAACAAATACTATAAAATATTAATTAAACATGGTGATGTAACAAACACACACACAAAACAAAAGGACAATTTTGACTTTAAACGTTCTCGAACATTAAAAAAATCATTATTTATATCCATGTTTTGTAAACCGATGGTTTAAGATGTTAATTAAAAAAAAGTAAAAATACCCTTATATTATTTATTAGTATCAATTCAATTTAATGTCACTTTAATTAATTGAATCAATTCAGTCTTATATCTTTTTAAAATATATTTTAATATTTGATTTTTTGTTTTCTTCTTTTAAATACTTAAAATATCTGACACGTTTTATGATGAGATGACACGTGTCATGCTATCACATCACGTGTTATATCACATGTCATCTAACGTGTCATGATGTCATGTCACGTGACATGATAACATGACACGTGTTACATTCGTTAAGTATTTAAAAAATAAAAATAAAAATCAAACATTGAGATATATTTTAAAGATGTGAAACTAAATTGATTCAATTAATTAAAGTGAAACTAAATTAACATAAATAAATAATATAAGAGACAAAAAAAATATATTTTTGCCTAAAAAAAATTAAATAATACTTCACATAAAAACTTTATTGATCTTAGTTATTTTATTTGAGTTCGATATTGTTTAGAAAGGATGTTTATGTCACTATTTAAAAAAAAACTAATGGTATTATTAAAAAGCATTAAAAGGTATTCTTTATTAATGAAAATTTATTTTATGTAATATACATTTATTTTTTAAATAAATTTTCAATTTCATTTTTTATACAAAAATCATTAAACAATCTAATTTTTACGTACTTTTTAGATTTAAATATATTTTTAATTCCTTAAATTTAAAATTAGTTCTTTTAATTTCTATAATTTCAAAAAATCTTATTTTAGTCTTTATACTCAAATTTTATTAAGAAATCTGTCAAATATTATCGCATAAAATTTACTTACCTATGTTTTTACTAATAAAAATATTATATTAAATTCAAATCATGGTGTATAACTATTTCAATTTGTCATTTTCAAATATATTATTAGTAATTTGAGAGACTAAATCAATATTTTTGAAAATTACATGGATTAAAAATAATAATTTTAAATTTGAGAGATCAAAAATAAATTTATCATAAATTTGAGGAACTAAAAATATATTTAAGTCAACAATGTAAAATATCAATTAATTATAATTTTACAAGTAAAGATGTATTTTAGTATTTTATCATTTTCATATTTTTTTTTATATACTAATTATTATGTTAAGTCATTAACACATTGGTGTTTACATTTACATTATTTACTATGATATTTGTCAAATATCAAAACATAAAATATTGTAAGATTTTTATCGAAATGATCTAAAATCATACCGTTACAATATTTGAAGAAACTAAAATTATTCAAGTAATTAAAATTAGGGAATCGTATAATTGAAATAGTTGAAAAATTAAAAATATTTTTAAAAAATTACAACTACAAATAAAAATCATTTACCTATTACAAAATGCTAGTTTTTTAACCCATTACTTAAATTGGTTGTTAACTCCCCTCTCAATAAATTTTAGGAATTGATAGCTATTTATTAATTGAATTTATCGGACACACAGAGAAACTGTAAAACACTGAAAAAGTACAACACACTTGGTAAATACTTTTTTTTTTGTTTTCAAAATATCCTTCATTTATTTGCCATTTCATTTTTAATGATTTTTTAAAAAAATTTATATTTAATATCATTTTTCAATTAAGGGTAGTATACAAAAAGTACTATTTTTAATTGAAATTAATTAAGCAAATTAAATGTTATTAACTTTTTTAATTATTACACTAGATATTCCGTTTGAATTTGTATATAAGCAAACAAATATTTAAAGTTTTTTTTTGGCTTAAATGTAAAAAAAAATTTCAATTGAGTCAATTTTTATTTAATATTTTTAATTCAAAAATACCTCTTAAGAAATAACTGAGAACATTATCTACAATAAATATAATTAAGGATATTTTAGTAAATATAGTATATATTTTATATGAAATCAGAAAAGTTAAATACATTTAACTATCTTCTTAAATTATGTAAAATTAATCATTTTTGTTTATTTATAAGTCTAGAGAGAATAATTATTTTTGCTTATAATTTAGTAGTTGAGTTAGTAACTAAATGAGTTTTTTTTTATAAATATATTGTGGGTTTGATCCTTTCACCATATATACTCTTAAAAGAAATTAGCTTTTAACTATTAATTGGAGGATATTTTTGGTAAAAAAATCATTTACGTTGTTAGTATACATTATTTTCTGTTGTCAATTACCTCCTTCACCTCAAAATAATTGTTAATTATCAGTGCTTTACACCGATAAAAAATAATAAAAAATAGATGAAAAAATAATAAATTTACAAAGTTAACCTTATTTAAATGAAAATAACACATAACAACAATTGTATTATAAAAATTATTATCAAGAGTATAAATAGAAGAAAAAAAATTAATACTCCCATAAAAAGTTAAAATAACATATTTTGGAACATTTTTTTCTTTCTTTCTTTTTTTCTCAATTTTTTAGGATGAATATTACATAATATGTAAATATTAAAAATATTAAATCACTAATGTCAACATAGTAATACAAGATTGGGGTATATCTACATTAATACTTTGTTATTGTCATTGTAATTCTTGTGGTTAAAAAATATATTAAAAATTGCTAAGTATGATAAGTTTATTTATAATAATTATTTTATTTGTACTAAAGTTTTAGCATTTTAAAAATGTCTCCAAATAAATTATGTTCTCATTTTTAATGTAATATTAATTATTTTTTTCTAATTTATTATTTTATAAGTTATTCAACCACTATATAAAAAAGTAATACATTTTTTTTCTCTTTAATTTGTGTACAAAATCTTAAATCCCAGTCATTGTGAGATAAATATAACATATTCAAACTCATACGAATGATAATAATTGATCGATAATTCTTTAATTGCAAAGTCATTTACCTCATATATATTCCCTTTGTTATCGATTGTAAGAAAAAAATGATTTAACGCATATTAAAGAAATTAGTTATTTACATTAAATTTTACTAATTTTATAATATTTTTCTTAAATTATTTTTGTTATAAATGTAAAAAAAAGTAATACAATTAAAAGGTCATGCATCAAATGAAAAATATTTTAGAAAGAGTATCATTAAATGAAATAAAAATAATCAAAATTTTTTTACATTTAAGAACAAAAATATATGTTTTTTTTTTACTTATAATAAATAGCAAAGAAAAAATTTATTATGTTGGTAATGTCATTAAATTCTTATTTATTATTTTGGTAGTGCCATTAAACTCTCATTTAAAACATAGTAAATATTTAATATACTTACTCCTTCCTAATGAATCTTGACGGGATTGAGATAATATTGAGGGTTTTAAGTTAAGTTACGGTAAATAAATTTTTTTTTAAAGCATAATGAATAGTATATCTGTTATAGAAAGAGTTGTATTTTTAAGGGAAATGCATGAAATGTATTAAGAAATGTGAAAATTTTGTTAATCCAGTAGGTGTGTCTTATTTAGTTATCCGAATTGCTAGAATTGTGCAACAAACTTTCCCTCTCTCTCTTCCGTTACCATAATAATAACTCACCAACACCAACCTCTCTTTATTTGTTCTCTTTGCAACTGCTTCTCTCTTATCAATGCTCAAACCCATTCACCACTTTCTCCCAACCCATTGCAGCTTCCAGATCTCACATTCCTTCCGCACCAAATGGGAAGCAAATGGAGGAAAATGAAGCTTGCTATTGGGATCAACATGTGCGTTCAGCTCCCCAAAACCATCGATCACTCCTCCTCCTCCCTCCCCTCCGCCACCACCTTCTCCGACCGCCCTTCGCCCTCCACTCCCACATCCTCCGCCCTCCGCCTCTCCAGATCCAAGTCCAAATCCTCCAAGGTTCGCATTGCCCTAACAACTTTTCATTTTCAGCTTTATGCTTATTGTGGATTCTGATTATAGGTTTTTGCTACCTGGGTGGTTTTTGCTATTCATTGCATTTTACGAAGATGATAGCGTTAAATGCCAAATAGTAAATAGTCGTCAATATTAGGTTCTATTCGCTGCTTAGTTTTTGTTGGGGTACTCGTAGGGCCATATTGTGGAAACGGTTTATTATTATTCGTCGTTTTGGTGTTGCTTTCATCTTCATTACTATGTGTGGTAGCAGCATCCTTAAAGGACCAATTGCTTGGTTGGAAAATTATTTGGATCGACACAAAATAAACTTAAGGGGCACAAATAAATAATGATGTTTTTACTTTTTTTTTGTTTGTGTGTTTGTGGGTCTACCTTATAATGTGATGATATTGAATTTGATGAGAACATATAAGCCTATATGGAAAAGGGTTACATTGCTTTTGAGACCTTTCTTCTCTCTGGACGCCTTGGTTTGCTGATTCGTAATTGCCAATCCTGAGAAAAGTCAATCATGCTTAAGCATTAGATGGGACTTGAGCAATGAATGAACGAATCATCTTTGATTTCTCCTTCTTTTAGTGACATTTTTATTTTATCATGATTAATTAATAATTAATTTCTCGAGATGTTCAATGTTAGAGTTGCAATTTGCCTTTGCCTGACTGAAAGTCGTATGCTGAATGCTGTTTATTTATTTATTTATTTATTTCTTCCCCTTGATATCCTCGCTGTGTGTTTGACCACCTAACGTTGACTTTTAAGTTAAAAAAAAAAAAAAAAACACTTTGTGTAGTTGTAGATTTGCGTGGGAATCCTCGACTTTTGGTAATTAGGCATTTTAATAGTAAATGTTCGTGTGGTTGTAAAGATGGGTAACATTCTCTATTTCATCTTTTTATGCACTGATCTTGGTAGTGGACCTGCATCCGGACAGAAGGGGCAGTGGTAAACAAAATAATGTATAATAGTGACTTTTCCAAATTTTGCATTTATCTATTAATTCTTTATTAAGGCGTTGCTCATATTCTCGGATTTTAAAAACAGCTTTCTGTGCACCACAAATTAAAAATATATTACTAGTAAATAAAAATATTTAATATTTTAACAGTTTTGAAATATTTATTATAGTTTTTAAGAAATTACAATAGTTTAATAAAACTAATAAATACTAGTTTTAAACATTGACGTGGTGGCTTTTCTTTTTATCTCTTTTGTTTTTAAGCGACTATGAAGAATTGATATGGATGGTCGGATCATTACCTTGTGTTGTGTTACTTTTTTCACTAGTGGTCTTTTGTTTGATAATTAAAATAGTTAAAAATCTCCATTCATAAATGTTAAAAAAATAATTAATGATATGAATGAGTTAATGGAGAAAATTTTTAAGAAAACTTATTGTATTTTGACAGTCACCTATATGTTTTTCAATTTTACCTTTTTCAACCTCCAACCATAATTATTAACTATTAGGCATCCATAGAATCATAATATCTTTCTTATGAAAACTTTAGTTATCAAATAGTATTGCTGACAATGTTATTACCACATGAGTTAAGATTTAAGTGGTGAAGTAGTGTTGGATGTTGCTATCGTTTGAGATGCTTCTCAAGTCTCCGTTTTCGTGTTCTCGATGACATCAACATGCCTCTTTTCCTTTTTCTCCAACTTGGTCTATGAGCTTGTTTGGATAGAAACTTTTTTTTACTAGAAAATACTCTTTATTCCTAATAGAGTAATTCTTAAAAGCATTTTTTTAACTTGTATTCAATCATGCACCAAGAGAAATTTATAGTCTTATTTGATATCTACTAGGAAACTCGTTGATGAAATTGCGTCATTGATGTCTATCAATAGTCTTATTATTCCTTTACTCACATTATGTTCTACATTATATGCAGGGGACATGTGCAATTTGCCTGAACTCAATGAAACCAGGGCAGGGACATGCCATTTTTACTGCGGAATGTTCTCACTCTTTC